TTCTTGCCTTTCCAACGGTTTTCTAAGCTTGCTCCATCAAAGAGAGTATCTTAGTTTGATACTGATCTTAACACTTCTTTAACATTTGCTAATTGCCTTTATAGTTCCTTCCACTGAAAGGTAAGGATCCTGGCTTTCCATTTTTAGTAGTGATATTGAGTTCACTACTAGCTTCCTTTTTAAATGATGTTACAGTTTGTTGCTTTTTTCTTTTTTTAAGGGGTCAATCTAAAGAAAGCGTTAGGTAATTATTAACAGGTGATATGGAATACAGTAAAAATCAGGAAGGCGGTACGGAAATGACTAAGATTTGAGAAACACTGTTTAGGCTCTCTGACCTTCCCAAAGCGAGAGCCTAGCTCAGCCTCTCCCCCACCTGTCTGACCCACAGCTTCCTTCCTTCTCCTGACATCCCCATCCATCTGAGCACAACTTGTAGGCTGTCACAGGAATACCGAAGTATCAGTTGGATAATCCAGTGAAGATATGCATTCTGTTCCACAACCAGCCCTCCACTAGACCCTGCACATACCCAGCCAGCCTCAAATAGGGGGTTGGGCTAGATTATGGCTCATGTTCTTTTCCAACTCTGAAACTGAATCCTTCTGAATTCATAGAATCAACCATCAGGAGGCTTCTGTAGGCAAACTATATTAATAGCATGCCACTTCCCCTATCCACACAGGCCAACCCAGGCTGGGGGGGCTCTCCATCTTTCTATCAGGCCCTTTATAGGGAAACCCCTTCCCAGAGTAGCAGGGCCTGCTGTTCCATGGTCTGTGCAACACTTGACCCCACAACCCTCAGCTGTGTCTTTAAGAAAGGATGTTCCCGGGGGCGCCTGGGTGGCGCAGTCGGTTAAGCGTCCGACTTCAGCCAGGTCACGATCTCGCGGTCCGTGAGTTCGAGCCCTGCGTCGGGCTCTGGGCTGATGGCTCGGAGCCTGGAGCCCGTTTCCGATTCTGTGTCTCCCTCTCTCTCTGCCCCTCCCCCGTTCATGCTCTGTCTCTCTCTGTCCCAAAAATAAATAAAAAACGTTGAAAAAAAAATTAAAAAAAAAAAAAAAAAAGAAAGGATGTTCCCTCCCGGGCCCAGGTTAGAAGTGAACGTTTTCCTCCTCCCTGGCAGCAGCAGTGCCAGGGCTGGTGACCCATGCCATGACCCAGAAAATGCACAAGACCCAGAAGAAAGCGATCGATCGTGGGCCTTGAAGTCCAGTTCTGGGAGCGACGCGCAGCACCTACCTTCCACCGAAGGGGAGAAGATGATGAGATTGTCATAGAGGAACTCCCCGTATTTAATGAGGGACAGGCTGGGGTCATCTGCGGTCTTGAACGTGAGTTCAAAAGCCCTGTCTGGACGAGAAGAAAACAGGGCGCTGAGGCAGACGGCACGCCAGGGGAAACCACCACTGCAAGGGTCACGACCGCCCCCGCAAGCGAGAGGCCAGAGCTCGCAGCTCCCTCGTGGAAAACCAGTAGGAGGGAGGGTGGTCGCTGCCCTCGGGCTCGGGAGCCTTTCCAACCCGACTGTCCCCCACCATCCCCTCGGGTCCCGGTCTCACCCTTCAGGCTTCGGAAGAAAAGCGAGTGCGTCTCCCGCAGGTTGAGGTTGTCCAGCAGCACTAAGGTGCGGGGACCGCTAGCGCAGACCGGGCCAAGCAAGGGCAGCAGCCACAGGAGAGACCAAGCGCGGGCCGCGGCGCCGGGCTCCATTTTGCGCTTCCTGCCGAGAACCCAGGCACCGGAGCACCGGAAGTGCCCCGTCTACGCTGCCCAATCGCAGTTCGTGGACTTAGAGTAACATCTGGAAACGATCCGGGTAGGCTGTGGCCGGGGGTTCCCAGCCGCTGCTGCGCGGGAGAAGAGCGGGTTAGCACCACCGGAAGTGCCCCGGTTGGAGGCGGACTCTCTGAATCCTATTGGCGGAAGGGGCGTGAGGTTCCGCCCCCCCAAAGGAAAAGGCTCAATCTTAGAAAGACAGCTCTGCGACCGCAGCCAATCAACAAGGCCGAGCGCCCTTAGGCTCCGCCCAGACCGGACTCCCGCCGGGAGCCCAGATCCCGCCTCCTCATCAGGCGGGCTTGTCCCTTACGGGACCTGGAGAGGTTGTGGCCACTTGGAACCACCTCCTCGATGATCCCTGGCTGTGTCCTCACTGGCCCAGGACAGACTCGGGACTAGAAACCAGGCCCCATCTCTATCTCCAGGGAGGAAAGGGTTGGAAAACTAAGATCAGGGCTAGGATACTTTGAATCTCCTGTCACTAATGGACCCAGCGGCCTGGGTACAGGCCTGACCTACCAGGCCTGGTGGCCCATGCTGGAGGCAGCTGGATAGGCGGCGAACTGGCTTCCCGATGAAAACGCTGTAGCTGGGTTCATTTCTCAGCTCCGCCTCTCACTACCCCTGCTGCTGGGGCATTTCACTTCTCTCCGGGCCACTTTCCTAGGCTGGAAATAGAAATAATAGCGAGGCTCAGCCCTCCCACTTACCTGTGTGCCTTTGGAAAAGCTGAGCTCGTGGGAGCTCAGGGGCAGGTTTGTTTTTTTTTTTTTTATTTTTTTTTTTTTATGTTTATTTTTTTTTGAGACAGAGAGAGACAGAGCATGAACGGGGGAGGGGCAGAGAGAGAGGGAGACACAGAATCGGAAACAGGCTCCAGGCTCTGAGCCATCAGCCCAGAGCCTGACGCGGGGCTCGAACTCGCGGACCGCGAGATCATGACCTGAGCTGAAGTCGGCCGCTCAACCGACTGAGCCACCCAGGTGCCCCTCAGGGGCAGGTTTTGAAGCACTTCGTGCCGAGTGTGGCTCAGCCTCCCCTCAGTAATGCTAGCTTCTAAATTGATGGGGGGCACCTGGCTCACCTCAGCCCCACCACGGGTCTAAGTAAAAGCAGCTCCAAGGCTGGGTCCCAACCACAATCCTGGGGCAAAAAGCGATGGTGGAGACAGAAGGCAGCTGTTCTTTTCTGACCTTTCACACTTGCCCACCCAAAAGAATGTGGGGGCAAAAGTCAGAACCTCCCTCCCTCCATCTCCTTAACTGAATCTACCTCCTCTCCATCTCTGCTGGTTCCACTGAGAGTTAAGCCTCACCCCCACCCTGGGCGTCCCAGCCCAGCCCTCCTACCCTTCTGCATACAATGCCACATCCGTTCACCTTGAACTCAGACCTGATGATGCCTGTAGGTGGCTTAGGAGTCCCACTGCTCAGGGTCACCCAGGGCTCCTCACGCTCAGGTCTCCACTGAAACTGAACTCAGCAACCTCCTTCTCCGGCTCTGCTCAGGACTATCCATGCAGTAAGTCTCCAACCTTTAACACACTCAGCTTCCCCACTCGCCTTTGCGCACACAGCAACCACTCCCACCCCGGCCATTCCCTTCTTAAGCCTCCCAGGATCTTCTTCGTCTTTTATGGTAGCTCCACCCTTCACAAGGATGCTTTTCCCCCCATAAAGCCCTGACCTTTCTTCCTCTCAATGGTGTACTGCAGCCTGCCTCTGGTTAAACTCATCTCCGGTTACCAGAGCACCTTCCACCCCAGCTTCTCCAGGGCATGAGCTCCTTCGCCCAGGCACGTAGCTTGTGGGACCCACCACACTAATTAATGCAAAATATGGAGGAGAACGAACGAGGGGGACTAACGCAGAGCACCTGCTATGTACCGGGAACATCACACATGATCTCATTTAACCTTCACGATACCCCTGGGAGGCAGGTGTTCCCCCTCTCGCAGATGGGGCCCAGAGTGCAGTGAGGCCCATCTTCAACCCAAAGCCAAGACTCTTCCCTGAGATTGTGGGGCCCTCCCGCAGGGCAGGCCTGGGATACAATGAGCAAAGGGAGGGATGTATCCTCAACCACTGGGGCGGCCTGGGTTCATTTCTGGCCATGTCAGGGCATCCGGTTCCAGCACAGCCCCCGAGGACTGTCAAAACGTGGCCTTCTGGGTTTCGGCAAGACACCACCTCTGGTTTCCAAAACAAGGTCTCTGCTCTCCCGAGCCACGGATCCTCTGAGACTCTAATGACAGTTCGGATGCTCTCCCCAGAAAAATGTGCTTGTACTCATGAGTGCGGGGAGTTGCAGAAGCCCTGGAGCCCATTTGTTTTAAAGGCATCAGGTAGTTAAGAAACCCTGCTCCAGGGGCACCTGGGTGGCTCAGTTGGTTAAGCGTCTGACCCCTGATTTCGGCTCAGGTCGTGATCTCGCAGCTCCCAGTGAGTTTGAGCCCCACGTCAGGCTCTGCACTGACAGTGTGGAGCCTGCTTGGGATTCTCTCTGCCTCTCCCCTGCTCACTCTCTCTCTCAAAAATAAATAAATAAACTTAAAAAAAAAATTTTTTTTTTAAAGAAAGAAAGAAACCCTGCTCCAGAAAGAGCTTCCCTGTGAAGGCCAGGCCGCAGTGACAGGAGGGGCCCCGGTGACACTGTCAGAGGGTCGGGGAAGGGGAGCTCATCGGTAAAAGGCAGTTTATTGGGGCAGCTTCATGCGGGGCAGCGTCCTCTAGGCCACAGACCGGCCGGGAGAGGGCAGCGTGGCACAGCTGCCCCAGGACTCCCGTGCCCATGCTGCCCAGCTTCCCCCCAGGAAGGCAAGGGGAGGAGGCACCATCATCCATCTCCAACACACTGTCCTTGATCCATGCGGAAGTGGCTCCCCACTCTGTTGGGGCTGCTGGTGAAAGCCTTGAGGTTTCTGAGCCCATCGAGGCACGGAGGAACACTGGCAGGCTGTGGCAGGTGGAACACTGGCGAGGCATGGACAGCCCGAGAGCACCTCTGCGGGGGTGGCCCAGCCTCCCAAGTGCTCATGGTCTGGGCAGAGGAGGCTCTCTGGGTAACAGGGAAGGGAAAGCTCTTCCCAGGGCAAGGGGCCCCCTGGGCTCCCAGACACCGTGGGGGCAGGTGGGAGGAGGCCTGGCTGGGGCTGCCCTGGGAGGGCTTGGCAGTCTCCGGGAAGCTCAAAGTCAGGGCAGCAGCAGGAGACCAAGTTCACAGAGGCTCACTGCCGAAGCTGCTTTTGCTTTTCTTACGCTTGACCTTGGTGAAGGGGATGTCGAGGGACTCGAGGCGGAAGGGCCGGGGCTGGGGCATTTCGGGGGCCTGGGTGGGCACGATGGCCGCGGTGTTGTTGAGTGGGGAGCTGAGGCCGGGGGGAGAGCTGTGATGCGCTGTGGAGAAGGGAGCAGAGGAGCAGGTAAGTCAGGGGTACGGAGAGGGGGAGCCCTGCCCGCTCCACCCAGCCGGAGGCCTGGTCCCACAGCTGGGCCTCCGAAAGGCTCTGGACCAGGAGTGTGGAGTTTTAAAGGCTCAGACCGAGGCAGCCTAGGACTCGAGCCAGACAAGCCTGCGTTCAGAGCCCAACTTTTGGGAGCGACTTCTCCCAGAGCCTCAGTTTCCTCATCTGCAACATGGACACAACGCCGGGTCCTCAACTGATGTTCATTTGTATCCTGGGCCATTTTCCCCTTCCTGTTCCTCAACTCTGCTGGATTCCACCTCTTCAGTAGTCTCAGTGCAGGACTGAGATTTGCTTTTCACTGATATTTTATTAGAAACTGCGGTCTTTGATTTTGGTTTTAGAAATAGAAAGAACCAAGTGATTTGCAATTCTTGCTTTTAAAAGTGTTTCACCTTGGTGGCCCTGCCTGCCCCCTTTGGCTCAATGGGAGAAAGCCACCACACCGGCATCTGCAGAAGCCAGTGAGCAGCTGAGCCAGACCCGTGCAACACGTGCCAGGGCACCGAGCCGCGTGTCACAGGCCTGCTGGGCATCGGGGGGGCACCAAACACGGCAGCGGTCCGCCGAGAGATGAAGGGGGACAGGAAGAGGGAGGCTGTGCGTTGAGCACGTACTACGTGCCAGGCCCGGGGCTGGGCTGCTTGCCCACCTCATTTCACCTAAGCCCCAAGAAGTAGGTATACCCAACTCAGTGCACAGCTCAGGAAACTGAGGCTCAGAGACGGGAAGGGGTTTTTAACCCGGGCCTGACGCCACTCCACCCATCACGTGACTCCCAGTCGGCAGAGGACCAGGAAGGGCTCTCTCGGGGAGCAGCTGGAGGACAGGAGGTGGGCAGGGCACTCACCGAGGCTCTTCATGAGATCCGTGCTGAGGATCTGGCTGGCTCGCTTGGACCGGAAGTAGTTACTGGCAATGTTTTCGCTGTCGCTGCGACTGAGCATCAGCTTGTAGCGGTCTTCCTCCTGCCGAGATTCCAGATCCTCGTGGGTCAAGACCCCTTGTTTGTATAGTTCTTACCTCTGCAGGCCCGGGGGGCTGGGGGCTGCCCTGAGCCTCACTGCCCACACTCCTGGGGTGGGGTCCAGGCAGCTCAGGCCAGGAGAGCCACAGCTCCAGCCAGAGCTACCCGACCCCCCTTCCTTGGTATGGGAAGTGCCTTGTTCTCCATCAGGGGCAAGGGCAATGCCATAGCCCCAACCCGTCTCGGCACATTCACAGAACAGGTAATACAGTACTCAGCCCATGGTCCCAACCTCTTATCATCAAGGACTGTGATTTGTCACCACTATAGTGGACTTGTTTTCCTCAGCCTGAATCTCTTCCTTCAGGGACTACCCTTCTCCCCTTTGGCATGGTCCTGCTGAAGCGATCATTCATAGCGCCCTAATACCTCCGCTCCCTCTCGTCCACCCCCTTGCTGCACAACTGGGCATGTGACCCAGACCGAACCAGTCACAGAAATACATCTTCCAGGGGCGCCTGGGTGGCTCATTCGGTCAAGCGTCCGACTTCGGCTCAGGTCATGATCTCACAGTTCGTGGGTTTGAGCCCCACATCGGGCTCTGTGCTGACAGCTCAGAGCCTGGAGCCTGCTTCAGATTCTGTGTCTCCCTCTCTTTCTGCCCCTCCCCCTGCTCACACTCTGTCTCTCTCTCTCTCTCAAAAATGAAATAAACATTGGGGCACCTGGGTGGCTCAGTCAGTTAAGCATCCGACTTCAGCTCAGGTCGTGATCTCATGGTTCATGGGTTCAAGCCCCACGTTGGGCTCTGTGCTGACAGTGGGGAGCCTGCTTGGGATTCTCTGCCTCCCTCTCTTTCTGCCCCTCCCCCACTAGTGTGTGTGTGCTCTCTCTCTCTCTCTCTCTCAAAAGTAAGTAAACATTAAAAATACTTTTTTGGGGGGTGCCTGGGTGGCTCAGTCGGTTGAGTGTCCAACTTCGGCTCAGGTCATGATCTTACAGTTCATGAGTTTGAGCCCCGTGTCAGGCTCTGTGCTGACAGCTCAGAGCCTGGAGCCTGCTTTGGATTCTGTGTCTCCCTCTCTCTCTGCTCCTCCCCTGCTCACATGCTGTCTCTCTCTCTCAAAAATAAATAAAGATTAAAAAAAATTTTTTTTAATAAAATTTTTTTTTTCCTGGACATAGTCATTGGTCTAAGAGCAGGCCCCTCACCCAGGCCGACTGATCAGAGTCTTCCCACAAGTGTTGGTTAAGATGTGGTAAGAGACTGGGTCTCTTCCTCTTGGATCACCAATCGCCAGCGGCCACCTTTCCTGCCACGTAGCCAAAGCCTGCCTGAGTCTGAAGCTAACATAACAAGGGAAGCAGAACCAAGAGGTGGAGAAACACACAGAAAAGTGTGGTGCTTCACAGGGAAGTTTTCTGACCTCTGCTTTGAGGAGGTACATTTCTGTTGTCATACAAAACGTGGGAGATATGAGAATAAAGTGACTTTAGAATCCCAATTACTGTTTCATAAATCCCTGAGGGCCCTTTGGTCCAAAGACACCAGCAAGGGTCCAGGGAACCAGAATGTACTGCCTGGCCTCTGGGATTGAAGACAAAGCTTCTGTCCTTCACCAGCAGGAGGGGCTGCCTCCTACTTTCCCTTTGGCCATAAGGGCCTTTGAATGAGGGCCAGAGGCGGTGCAGGGTCTGGGCGCCAGAATTACATAGAAAGGATCCAGGCTCAGACTCCTGCATAGGTTTTTTTTTTTTTTTTTTTTTTTTTTTTTTAACACTGCAGCACTTTTTCCCCACACAGTGACATGTTGCTGGGGCCTAATGTTCTCCACATGACAGTAGAAAACTAAAATTTGTCATCTCTTAAAGAATTGAGAATTGTGTACAAAAACATAAATTAAAAGCATGAATAAATCTACAGTTGTGAATGCAAACCATTTTCCAACGCAAGGCAATTAACAACCCTTGGTGTTCTGCCAGGAAAACATCAGGTAAGAAAGGAAAGTGGGTCCTAAGGCTCAGACCTTCCCAAACCCTGTCAGACCAGCAAGACAGAAATGACCACTGGTCCAGGACTCCTGCCAGCCTCTAGCGAAATCCTGGGACAGGCAGCTCTCAACACATTAATACCCTGCACGGATCAAGAACTTCATGGTAGGGGTGCCCGGGTGGCTAAGTTGGTTGAGCGTCCGACTTCGGCTCAGGTCGTGATCTCACCGTTCGAGTCCCTTGTCAGGATCTGTGCTGACAGTTTGGAGCCTGGAGCTGCTTTGGATTCTGTGTCTCCCTCTCTCTCAAAATTAAATAAACTTTGAAAAAAAATTAAAAGAGAAAAAAGAACCTCATGGTCTAGGGGCACCTGGGTGAGCGTCCGACTTCGGCTCAGGTCACGATCTCACAGCTCAAGAGTTCGAGCCCCGCGTCAGGCTCTGTGCTGACCACTCAGAGCCTGGAGCCTGCTTCAGAGGCTGTGTCTCCGTCTCTCTCTGCCCCTCCCCCGCTCATGCTCTGTCTTTGTCTCTCTCAATCTCTCTCCCAAAAATAAATAAACATTTAAAAAAAAAGGAAAAAGAAATTCATGGACTCGCCGATTCTCAAACCAATGGATTTCTCTTCCATAAGCAGTTTCTCCACCTCGGCCACAAAGTGACTGAGATGCATGTACCAAGGGTTTAAATCAAAGATATGTACGTGGTACTGAACATATACCAATGGAACAGTTAACCTGGACACAAGGTCAAGATCAGCAACAAGCTCTACAATCCAGTGATGATACCAGATCCAAGGACCAAAGCAGCCCAGTGCCCTATAGTAACGCTCACCCACTGCACGGTGGGGACGAAGCCCCGCCAGCTCCCCACGCCTTGCCCCCTCTCACAGAGGCCTTACCATGCCTGCTTCACCGTTGTCTGCGGCAGAGGTTTTGCGGACAACCTTGTTCTGTGGCCCTGTTGGAACTGCTATGAGAAACAAAAGCCCAAGTCACTGCTGCCTGGTCTGAGTGCCAGAGGGACAGGGTGGGTGGCAACAGGTCCCCGAGCTGGCAGGTCAGGCCTGGCTCAGGCCCGGGACCAGGGGAGTACACTTCCCAGCCCGAACCAAGGGATGACTTTGGGAAACAGACAATGGGAGGGCTCAGATGTCAAAGCAGCCACTCTCCTGCTTGTAACAGCACAGCAGGCTGGTGGGGGCAGGGGGAACCCCGGGAAGTGGAGCTGGCTGGCCTTCGGGCAGGGGTAGCGTCAGTGCCATCCATAAACATCAGGGATGCGGGACCTAAACGAACATTCTCTTGACAGCGGGGGAGGCCCGCTGGGGGCCCCAGGGGACATAAGACGCTACTGCTCCCTAAGTGCTCCCAGACTCATCGGAGGTGGAGGGGCCTTCCAGACCACCAGCCCCTCCTTTGTGAAGATCAGGGACCAAGGCCCAGAGACAAACAGTGACCTTCATAAAGTCCCACAGGAAGTCAGTGGCAAAAGCACAAGGTGAGCCAGGCCTGGAACTCTGAACGGCCCGGTCCTCCAACTCCCTGCTCTGCCTGGGACTCTGGCTAAGTCACTCACTCTGAGATTCCGTCTCCCGAAATGTAAAATCTTTGTCCTCCATGGGGTTGCTGGGGGATAATGCTGGGGGACAATCATGACAGTGGTAGAATGTACCACGGGGGCGCCTGGGTGGCTCAGTCGGTTAAGCCTCCGACTCCAGCTCAGGTCATGATCTCACAGTCTGTGAGTTCAAGCCCCGTGTGGGCTCTGTGCTGACAGTGTGGAGCCTGGAGCCCACTTCCAGTTCTGTATCTCTCCCCCTCTCTGCCCCTCCCCTGCTCACATTCCTTCTCTCTCTCTCTCTCAAAAGTAAATAAACATTTTTAAAAAATGTATGGTGCACTTGGCACGTGCGCGCATGGCGCTAAACGTTTTATGGGCATTAACACGTGTTAAGCCACCCAGCAATGTCTACGGAAGGTGCGGTCACTAATCCCCATTTCACAGACGAGGACACTGAGTCCCAAAGGGGTCACACGGGGCGTGGTGGAACCCGAATTCCAACCCACACAACTTCTCCCTCAGGCCCTCCATCGCTCTGGAGCCCGGAGCCCCGGGCCTGCTGTGCCCACAGCCAGCAGGGCGGGAGCCCGGGCTCCGGGTCAGCCTGCAGGAGGGCAAACCGTGGGGAGGAGCGAGGGGACGGCCAAGCGCCTGACCTACTGGGAGGCTGGTTTTTACGATGATGGGCTCAGGGATCTTCCAGAAGCCGTTGTCCTCATCCCAGCAGGACTCGCGCCGGATCTTCTCCAGGTTGCTGTAGTTGCAGTCGCGGCGGATGAGAGGCTGCACCTGCTCCAGGAGCTGCTGGAGGAGCAAGGAGTCCCGCTCCTGCCGGCGGATGGTGGCCAGGTAATCGATCTTTTCCAGCTCGAACTCGGACTGCAGGTCCTTGATTTCCACCTCCGCCGCCCGAAGCTGAAAGCAGGGGGTGACGATCTCGAGCAGGGAAGACAGCAAGCCCTTTTATCCACCCTCGGCACCCACTGCCCGAGCCTTCAGCCGGCCACCCGTCATCTGTTCGCCGATCCGCTCATCTACCCGCGCCCGCCTCCCGTCTGTCCACCAGCACTAAACAAGCACCTACTGTGTCCACAGCCCTAAAGAAAACAGGAAAAGAAGTTGCTCCTTAGCCGCACCCCCCCATGCCAGCCCTCGGAGACGACCCCACACAAACACATTTTATCTAGGAGCCTCTTAGAAGGCTCCACACTTAACACTGCGGAGTCACCACTTCTTAAAAAGTCTCAGAGACTTGTATAAATCTTTTTCCTAAGGGGAGCAGAGCCGTAAACTCTCAGACTCAGTGCTCACAGTCAAGTTACGACGTGACAGACATTGGCTTAAGAGTCAGACCCATCCTGATTTGACCATGGATTCTAGACTTGTGATCTGCCCTGGTCACAGGTGACTCCCAGCTGCAACTATAACCATGCTCTCCCTGAGCCCCAAGATTCCTGGGTGCGCAGTCTGTTTCCTTAAAGAGCAGGTACAGTTCGATTAGTGAAAGAGGATGTTTCAAATTCATGGGAATGGTCATCACATGTAACCAGTTGAAAGCAGAGGCTATCTGGTAGGACACAGGTGGGCAATTAATGCTCTATTTCTTGAGGCACCTGGGTGGCTCAGTTGGTTAAGCATCTGATTCTTGATTTCTGCTCCGGCTATGATCTCACAGTTCATGGGTTCGAACCCTGCGCCAGGCTCTGCACTGGCAGTGCAGAACCTGCTTGGGATTCTCTCTCTCCCCTTCTCTCTCTCTCTCTCTCTGCCCCTCCCCTGCTCCCCACTCACACGTGCGCTCTCTCTCTCCCTCTCAAAATAAATAAACTTCAAAAATATATTAAATCCATGTTCCAATCCATGAACATGGGATGTCTTCCCATTTAGGTATTCTTAATTTCTTTCAACAATGTTTTCTAATTTTTGGCATATAGTTTTACCCTTCTTTTGTTACATTTATTCCTAAGTAGTTTATTCTTTTTGATGTGTTATAAATGGAATTGTTTTCTTAATTTTATTTGCAGGTTGTTCATTGAGAGTATGTAGAAATATAATTGCTTTTTGCTTATTAATCTTGTATCCTGCAACCTTGCTGAAGTAGTTTGTTTTTTTTTTTTTTTTTTAGTGGATTCCTTAGGATTTTCTACATAAGATGATGTCATCTGCACATAGAAATCCTTGTACCTATTCCCTTCCAAACTCAATGCCTTTTAAATCACTTTCTTGCCTAAGTGACCTAGCTAGAACCTTCAGCCTACTGTGAAATAGAAGTGCTGACAACAGACACCCTTGTCTTCTTTGTCATCTTAGGGGGAAAGCATTAAGTCTTTCACCATTGAGTATGATGTTTTCTGTGGATTCTTCATAGGTGCCCTTTATCAGAATAAAGAAGTTTCCTTCTAGTTCTAGTTTCCTTGGTGTTTTTATCATAACAGATGTTGGTTTTTTCAAATGCTTTTTCTGCATCTACTAAGATGATCATATGGGTTTTGTCTTTTATTCTATTGATATGGTATATTGCATTAATTGATTTTTGGATACCAAACTAACCTTGCATTCCTAGGATAAATCCTACTTTGGCATGATGTACAATCTTTTTACATGTTGTTGGATTTGGTTTGCTAGAATTTTGTGGAGCATTTTGTCTCTATATTTATAAGAAATATTAGTCTGTAGTTTTCTTGTTATGTCTTTCTATGGTTTTGTTATCAGGTGATACTGGACCTATAGAATGAATTAAGAGGTGTTCCCTTCTAGTTCACATGACTTTTTAAAGATACTTTTTAAAGCCCTAGTCTTCACTTTACAAATAAAATCCAGTGAGAAGATGTAATGGGAGAGGATACCCCACAGAGGAAAGCAAATACAAGAAAATATCTAGGTGTGAAATTAACAAGATTATGTTCAAAACCTAAGTGAGGAAATTTATAAAACACTCCTGAGTGACATAAAAATTGATCTGAACTAACAGAAGATATACCGTGTTCATGGATGTGAAAATCCAAACTCATAAACATACCAATACTCTCAAGCTAATTTATAAATATAACATGATTCTGCCAAAAGTTCCACCAATTTTATCTTTGTTTCTCTTCATTTTTTTTAATGTTTTCATTTATTTTTGAGACAGAGCATGAGCAGAGAAGGGGCAGAGAGAGACGGAGACACAGAATCTGAAGCAGGCTCCAGGCTCTGAGCTGTCAGCACAGAGCCCCACGCGGGGCTCAAACTCCCAAACAGCGAGATCATGACCTGAGTCAAAGTTGGACACTTCACCGACTAAGCCACCCAGGCGCCCCATAAAAAGTCAATTAATTTGACAAAGTAAAACTTAAAAAAAAACTTTTGCGTGGCAAAAATACCATAAAGCATAGTAAAAAGACAAATGAAATTGGAACAGAAATCTTTCTACCTTACATCACAGAGGAAGAAATTGGCGACCGACCAAGGAATATGACTATCCGTAATATAAATTACAATACTCCTGCTGTAAAGAGCTTCTACAAGCGGAGAAGGAAAGGAAGCAGCATCCTTACGGAAAAGGGGTCAAAAGACTTGGGATGAGCACTGGGTGTTGTATGGAAGCCAATTTGACAATACATTATATCAAATACACACATACATACATACATACATACATACATACATAAAGCGAGCCCAGTTCAGAGGGGGAGAACTGCAGCCGTCCCTAAAACACAGGAAGGAATGGCTCAGCCTTGCTCAACAGTTAGCAAAAGGCACATTGCTGAGGCTGTGAGAAAGCGCACTGGTACGGACTAGTGGAAACGCAAAGGGATTCACCCTCAGGGAGGAGAAGGTGGCAAAAGCTACCAAAGTCACATATGCTTTCCTCTCCGTCCAGCTGGAGGAATCGGTTCCAATCTATACCTACCCTAAATACAAAAGCAGTGTGCACAAGTTATTCACTACACAGCACTTTTCCCTGGCAAAAGATAGAAAACAATCCAAATGTCCATCAAGAGAGGGCTGCTGGAGGGGCGCCTGGGTGGCTCAGTCGGTTAAGTATCCGGCTTCAGCTCGGGTCGTGATCTCACAGTTCGTGGGTTCGAGCCCCACGCTGGGCTCTGTGCTGACAGCTCAGAGTCTGGAGCCTGTTTCAGATTCTGTGTGTGTGTGTGTGTGTGTGTGTGTGTGTGTGTGTGTGTCAAAAATACATAAACATCGTAAAAAAAAGAGAGAGAGAGGGCTGCTGGAATAAACAATGACACACCCTCACAGTGGAGCAGCACCCAGCAGTAAAAAGGAATGGCATATTTCTAGATACCGCTGCCGAGGGACCTCCAGGATGGATCATCATGTGAAAAAGACGAGGCGGAGGAAAGTGTGTTTGTAGCTACTTTTTCTAAGAAGAGGGAGGGCATGTACACGTATGCACAGCAGATTTGTACACACACACACGTATTTGCTTATATTAAAAAACAAAAGTGGGGCGCCTGGATGACTCATTCCATTAAGCATCCGACCCTTGATTTCGGCTCAGGTCATGATCTTGCAGTTTGTGGGTTTGAGCCCCTCATCAGGCTCTGCACTGACAGCACGGAGCCTGCTTGGGATTTTCTCTCTCTCCACCTGCCCCCTCTCTCTCTGCCCCTCTCCCGCTTGTGTGCTCTCTCTCTCTCTCTCTGAAGAATAAAATTTTTAGAAAGTTAAAAAAAAGTTCTGGATACCTGGGGATAATGACAGGGGATAGATCTGATTCTCTCCAGACAGGCCCTCCAAAACAACACACTGAGCAAGGAGAGAAAATAAAACCACCCTGAGCCCAGCCTCATGACCCAAAGACAGAATACCAGCCGCTTCGAAATAACCAGAAGTCCAGCAGACAGCTCGTGGGCCCACCCCACAGCAGGAAGGAGCAGAAAGCACCAGGAAAGTGTGCAAGGGGGAAGGCAGGGTGATGAAAGGAAGATAAAATCACCCCCCAAAAGAGAGAGCCCCACTCTGAGTAGGAAAATACCAATAATGGATCTGATACAGCGAAACTGATGGAAGAGACTGGAATGTGGGCTGGTCTCTGCAAGACTGAGTCTCTGCAAGTCTCTGTAGAGACTGAGGGGTTAGTCTCTGCAAGGCATGGCTTCTGGAGGGTGCTTAGAGATGGGAGGCCCCTAGAGGTGGAAATTAGAAGTCCTGCAGAAACAAGAGAAAATGCCAAAAGACACAATGACCCCTCCCACCAAGAGGGAGGGAGAGAGTGAGAATGAGTGGGGGAGGAGCAGAGAGCGAGGGAGAGAGAGTCTGAAGTGGGCTCTGCCCTGACAGTAGCGAGCCCAATGCAGGGTTTGAACTCATGAACCATGAGATCATGACCTGAGCTGAGGTCGGGACACTTAACTGACTGAGCCACCCAGGCACCCCTGTGAATATGTTATCTTATGCGGTAGAAAGCACTTTGCAAATGGAAGTAAGGTTATTCATCTGTTGACTTTATTTTTTTTTAATTAAAAATTCTTTTTGGTAACATTTATTACTGAGAGACAGAGAGAGACACGGCACGAGCATGGGAGGGGCATAGAGAGGAGGAGACACAGAATCGGAAGCAGGCTCCAGGCTCTGAGCTGTCAGCACAGAGCCCAACGTGGGGCTCAAACTCACAAACCGCGAGATCATGACCTGAGTCAAAGTTGGATGCTTAACCGACTGAGCCACCCAGGCGCCCCCTAAGCTGTTGACTTTAAACCAGGGAGATCACCCCGGGTCATCTGGTGAGCCCAGTGTAACCACACCGGCCTCGCAGGAGGGGAGCAGAAAGCCAGTCTTTTAAAGGACTGGCCTTAGAAGAGATGCTTTAGACAAAGGAGATGAGAGTAGAGTGAGAGAGCTGAAGTCTGGGAGGAGCTGGCCGTGGCTGTCTTTCATGGGGGCCACGAGCTGGGAAAGGCAGGCAGCTTCTA